AAAGAATACATATATGTCCCGAAGGACCACATATCATTCCTTAAGAATCATATACATATACTAGGGATCAAGTATGTGTCTCACCAGACTTCACACATGTTCCAAAGAATACATATATGTCCTGAAGGACCACATAGACCCTCGACTCTTGACATGCCAACTATACTCCTAGCTCTCATGACACATAACATGGGCATTGTCATTTATATCATTTCATATTCACACATGCATATTAATTATCTGTTATCACATGTCTGATCTCTTATAATCATGTAATCACATAACTCATGTCATTTCTTGTAAAATCACATATATCATGTAATACATATAACTTATACACTTTCTCATATGTTCACATGGTTCACATCACATGAATCATAGCTTTTCATATAGTTTATGCTTTATTCTCTTATATTCCCATACATGTAATACATATCAAGCATGGTTACACAACTCCTTTCGATATAACTTGCATGTACCTATATTCTTTTTCATATACTCACATAGTCATATAGTATAATATTTCATATAACCTCATGAAACAACTCACATGGATACATACTCAAATACTCATAGTTACATATCACTTAAATTATTCATATTTACCTAATCCATGGCCATATAGCTTTTATCACCAAGTCACTTATCTAATCTCTTATTCTCATATGTTCATATTTATCATATAACACATAAGTTTTATTGCATATTTATATCTCATTCCTACATCACTAATTCATAATATATTTTACATCATATCATCTACCTTATTCTGTATTTCTTATATACACTTACATTACCTAACCTACATTATACTTATAAACCTGAATATATTACTTCTATTATTTCTTTTATGTACAATTTAATATATTTACTTAATTCAATTCCGTACAACTCCTATAATCATTTCATATCACTCCATAGCTTCTATTATACAACTAATGTATCATAATTTTATTTAAGCATATGAATCTTTCTCCTCTATCTTATCTTATATGCTCATAGTATCACTGAAGTTCAAGTCTCCTAGTTAATATATTATTTATGTAACCTTTGCTTACTTAGTTCATATCATTTCTCATAAACTCACTTTTACCATATTCTCATATTATTACTTAAATTATCTCATAACATGTATTCACGTAGTAATATTTCATTTATATATATATATATCAAAGATCTTATCACATAACTTATCTTTTATATTCATATAATTTATTATCATATCATATGGTTTATATCATCATAACATATCACATATTCACATCAACCATATAATACATATATACAATAACATGTCAACACATATAAATCATACACATATATACTTCTATTTATGAATTCATGCATTTTACTATGGAAATAGACTTGTCGCAAGTCTTATTTCCATTTAACATCATATAATACTAATATGCACTCACCTGGCCTCACTAGTCAATTCCAATATCTTATCTTCCCTTTTTATCGATCTTACTTGTCAATGATTCCGGAACTCGTTTAGGCTCTGAATCTACATAACTATACATTTTAAGACAATTATTAGATACCTACACCTTGTAATTTGATACTAGCAACTTAAATGAACTTATTAAACCAATATTTACAATTTTCCTTTAGGGGGAATCGGTTCTCTCCTGTGGGGGTATCGGTTCCCCCTTGACATTATGTAAATTCTGGTTCGTTTAAGGGGGTATCGGTTCCCCTTGAATGGGTACCGATTCCCCTTGCCCAGAAATCACATTTTGAGCTAGAAAATCACTTCATTTTTAGCTCAACACTACATACTTCACTCCCTTTAATATTCATAACTTTCATACACATACTTAAACCAATAAATTTTCATTCAATATCTCTTCAACTTAAAAATTCACTCTTCCACATAGCATTCAAGAATCATACCAATTTTTCCATGTTATTCAAAATTAATTCTAACACTTATAACTTCTTACTCTTCCATATGACAAGTCAAATTCAACTTCAAAATCTATTAACTCATTCTATTTCACTAATTCACTTAAAAACTCTTCATATTTAATCTTTCATAACTCATCCATTTTTTAAGTTTCAACCTACTTTAATCTCTAAATAATCTTTCTTAGCACCCCAATAATCAAAACTAAGCTTAAAACTCAAGAATTAACCAACTGGAATTAAACTTACCTTTGCCATAGAGCTTACGGGAAGAGATGAGGAAGAAGATGACCCAAGCTCCAGATCTTTCTTTTCTTCTCACCCTTTCCACGTTTTTATCACCTTAAAAGAAAGATAAAAATCTTTCTGGTCAAATGACCATTTTACCCTTAATTTCCTTTAATAATTACTAAATAACCTTCATCATATATTTTCCAATAATCATTAAATTATTTCATTCTTCTACGTTAGTCACCAAATTTTGAAACTTTTCAATTTAGTCACTAACCCGGTATTGCGGATGTTACAAAAAAGCTCAATTCGATTTGACTCGTAATTTCATAAACTCGACTCGAAAAAAATTAAAATTCGAGTCGAGTTATAAAATAAAACTCGAATGACTCAAAATTTTTTTTATAATTAATTGATTAATCTTCAAGTTTAAGCCGAATCCATCAACTCTGATATATGATATCACATATGAATATATATATATATATATATATATATAGTTGTAAGTATGTATGTATATACACATATATATGTATGTATATTTGTTTGTATGTATGTATGTATGTATATCATATATAATTATAAAAAAACATTTAAATTATAATCAAATAGTACCATAACATTATAAATAGTTACAATTAAATTTAAATATAGACTCAAATAATTTAACTCGGAAATTTTGACTTCTATCAAATACTCTACCTCTATAATTTATTGACATCTACCAATGACAAATTTTCATCCAACTGTTGTTATTTGCTCAAACTAGAAATGATGAACGTAACGTGTTTGGGTTCAAAAACATGCATGAGTTGTTTAGTATAATTTCGTTAAAGATATAAGAAATGAATGAGCAGTAAGAGATGTTATATATATTATATGCATTTCATATCATATGGATTTTATTCCCGCTTGCAACAAACAGAAAATACACACACAGATCAGAATCGATAAACTTGTTCAATATAAAAAGGATGCAGTTGTTTCTGCAAACTTCTTTCACATGGGTATATAAACACGTTGGAGTTCGGCAATCGGCATCTTTTTCTAGAATGTAAAGCGAGGACAATTCGGTCATTTCAAGAAAAAAAATAAGTGGGCAGCTTATTAAAATAAGGGGTACCTATATTGACAGCAATCCAAATCCAAAAGCAAAAAGATATTATTTATTTTTATTTTTATATAACATTAAATAATCAACATCAATGTGGGGTAGGGTTGGGATGAGGTGTCCGACTTGCATTTGATGCTTTGTTATCCGATGTTTACCTTAAACTCTGCCCGTTGCTGACTTCATGGCATACTATTATTATTATTATTACCATCACAGTGATTTTATTTTATTAACACATTTTTTAACCTTTTTTATTTTTTTCTTCCCATAACAGCTGGTGTAATTTGCAAACCTTAATTGGAAACTAAGAAAGAATATTTAACCTCGGGATTTTCAAAACAACCGTAGAAAAGAAATGTTCCCAAAATGAAGTCCTGCAATTGTCAGTAGTTTAGTAATTTTTTGTTTGTCGACGACAGTTATTTTTACAAAAAGGGATGATTAGGGTTAAAAGTCTTTTAAGTATACTACGACAATGATTTGGGCAGGGGCACATCAATTTCTGTCTGAAAAACCAACTCACTGAAAAGACAATGTTATCCATTATGTGGACTGCCTTTGCTGAAAGAACCCAAGGTTAGCCAGGGCATTTCGCTTTTTTTTTTGGGGGAAAATCTTAGTCTAATTTTGAAAATCGATGGTATTCTTTTTCAATATATTTATTAAAACTCGATTAAATTTAAATTTTAGTTAAATAAATTCTTATACAGGAAATAAATTCAACGAAAAAGCTTGAGATGTATTATTTTTATCTACAAAATATTTAAATTATGAGATGTGATGTAATGTTTGATGATAATGTATACTAATCGTATAACATATTTTTACTTATAATAATTAATATGTAAATGAATCAATCGTAAACGAATAAGTTTGTGTTCGTATTCGTTTTCTATTTTTAAAAACGTTCATATTCAGTTTGTGTTCACTTAAATTTTTTGTATAATATTCACGTTTGTTAATTTATTTTTTAAGGTGTTTGCATAATTATATTTAATTTGTTTTAGCATTCATAAACATATTTTCTTAACGCCTGCAAATATGTTTGTTTAACGTTTGTGAACATGTTCATTTATATTTTTGTCAGCATACTGTAATCCTTAAGTTCCTTAAGCTTCATTGTTTGAACTGTAAAGTTCACATTTTGTTTATAATTATGTATCTAACTTAATAAATAAATATAAAATAAACATTATAAAAATAATTTACGAACAGATTGATTCATCGAAAGTTATGTTTAATTATACCCTTAAAAATAATAGATAAATTATTGTAAAAAATTGTTTATCTATTCAAAGATTACATGCCATAAAAGAATTAATCATTAATATCTATAATAAATATCATAATTTAGAAGGAAAAAGAAAAAGTGAAAGATTTACAAGACTACTTTACGAGACCCTACGAGTGGACTTCTTCTTGTACATGGCTAGACCATGTTCCCACCTAGAAGTAAAGGTCCCCAACCTGGTTGAGTTAGCCAGGCTATTAGATTTAACCCGGTGTGCGACTCGTACCACTTTAGTTCTTAACTCAGCCAAAATACAACACAGTCAATCAAAAAGCAAAAAAGGAAAGAAACCCGACAAACTCTTAGTCTTACTTATGTTCAGCCTCTGCAAAGAGAGAAAAAGAATTTAACTTTTTTATTTTATTTTCTCTCTCTATATTTTTTTTCGAGAAAGAGAGAGATTTGGAGAGAGGCAAGAAAGAAGAGAACAAGATGGGATTGATGATGGAAAACACATTTTAGTATATAAAAAAATCCTGCTCTTTCAAAAACCTGGAAACCCCACCAGATGGAACTTACAGATTTGCAAAACAATAAGCAAACCAACAACAATTCCGAAGAATCGAACCGCCATCAGTTGCAGCAAGAGCACCTGCAACATCAAAAACAATCTTCTTCTTCTTCTTCTTCTTCCCACTTTGTGGTCCCTTTTGATGGCACCAGATCTTCGGTTCCTTCTTCTGGTAACCCTTTTAATATGGGCTCCATTTCTCAACTTCATCACCTTCTTCTTCGTCCCACGACTAAGACCACCACCTCCGCCGCCGCAACGCTGCCTCTCCCGTCTTCTTCTTCATCGTCCTCAACCACTGCAACGAACGCGTCACCTCAGCTCGTTGACGCCTCTCTTGCTATCGCTACCAGATCTAGTTCTCTCAACATAGATTCCAAGAGCCAAACGAACTCTTCACTTTCATCCACGACGACGGCGACGGCGACAGCAGCCAACCCACCGGCGAAGCGCTCCACTAAGGACCGGCACACCAAAGTCGATGGTCGAGGCCGCCGTATCAGAATGCCAGCTACTTGTGCGGCTAGGGTTTTTCAATTGACTAGAGAATTAGGTCATAAATCCGACGGGGAGACAATTGAGTGGCTTTTACAACAAGCTGAACCGGAAATAATAGCAGCCACCGGAACTGGTACTATACCCGCCAATTTTTCAACTCTTAATATTTCTTTAAGAAGCAGCGGATCCACGCTTTCAGCCCCACCTTCAAAATCTGCTCCTCACTCCTTCCATGGCGCTGTAGCTTTGGCTTCTCATCATCATCATCATCACCCTTACGACGAAGGGTTCGCTCATAGCGCTTTGTTGGGTTTTCATCAGCAACAACAGCAGCAGCATCTTTTAACGGCAGATCAAATAGCCGAAGCTTTACCCGTCGGCGGCGGCGGAGTTAGTGGGAGTTTAAGTGAGAATTATATGAGGAAACGTTTCAGAGAGGATTTGTTTAAGGATGATAATCAGCAACAAGGCGAAACTGGCAGTGGTGGCGGAGATGATTCTCCTAATAAGGCTTTCAAAACCGGTTTAAGCCAATTACCGAAACCGCAACAACAAGATGTCGGATCTTCGGGTCTACTTCGACCGTCGAATTTTGTGCCTGCTACTGCCATGTGGGCAGTGGCACCAGCACCGAGCAGTGGAGCCGGAAGTACATTTTGGATGTTACCCATGACCACTGCTGGTGCTGGTGGCCCATCAATGGCTTCGGTTACATCTGGAACTGAGCAGGGTCAACCCCAGATGTGGCCATTTGGAACAGCAAGTGGGAACACAATGCAAGCGCCATTACATTTCCTGCCAAGATTTAATCTTCCAGGTAACCCTGAATTCCAAGGTGGTAGAGCCTGTCCTTTGCAATTAGGTTCAATGTTAATGCAGCAGCAACAACCTCCTCCTCCTCATCACCTCGGTCTAGGCATGTCCGACACCAATTTAGGCATGTTGGCCGCTCTTAATGCTTATTCTCGAGGCGTTCCGAACATTAACTCGGACCAAAATAATCCAATCGAACATCATCATCAACACCACCACCAATCTCAAGGTACAGTTAGTGGAGATGATGAAGACCCTAATAATTCTCAATGATGGACGGAGAATTAAATATACAAAGTTGGTCAGTAGGGTTTTTAATTAATTCCCATATATGTGACATGTTTGAATGCCTTGGATTTATTTCTTTTCTCCCTTGAGAAAAATGAATGCATCGAGTCTGTGCCAAGTGGGTGCCATTGTTAGTATTGTTAGTCCATTTTGTTTCTGGTTTTTATCAAGTCCGAGTTTGTAATTTATGTTTCATGTCCGAAGGGGACACCACAGAGAACAGTAATGAGAGAAAAGAGAGTTGTTTTGTATAGGAGGATATTTGTTTTGTGTTTTTAATCTGATTCGACTTAAATATATTTATCAAAATTTTAAAAATGGGAAACAAAGGCGCCACCTTTATCGTTTTCAAATAAACAATTCTATAAAGTGTCAATTTACTCCTTTTTCTTCTTCTCAAGTTTCAAAGTGATCCCCGGAAAGCATGTTCTGTCAGTAGTGTGTTGTAGTTTTTCCAAGTTCCAAGCCTTTGCCACTTTTTAATTTGGCTTATTTAATGTTGTTTTGTTTACACTGCTGTAAGCATGTTTCTTTTATTTCTACATGGGCAGTAGGCATGCTAGTTTCTTGTATTTTTAAACTAATTAATTAAGCAAACCCCACTTCTCCTTAGTGGTTCGGTCTGCCTGATTTCCGGCGGGGCGGGGCGGGCCGGGGGGGGGGAAGAAAAGAAAAAGGATTACTTTAATTGGGATGTTGCTTGTCAATGTTCCAAGGAAAACTAGAAATGGACGAGAATGTCTTTTCCCAATAATCAATATCTATGCAATCTTTTTTAATATGTGAATACATATGTATATTTTTGGGTTCTGATAACTTTATCTAGGGTAGACGTGGGAATTATTCGAGTTGGATTAATTTTGAATTAAATTAATTAAAATTTTTAAATTTGAATTGTTGCATGTTTAAAGTGTGTTACATTTTGAGTCATTTGAAATTTCTAATAATGTTGCTCGAGTTGAACATGGATAGAGCTACGTTGTAAGTGGAGGGCCATGATTCCAACTATGATGATTTAATTGCATTTTTTATTTAAATATTTTTAAGGTCTTATTAATTTTAAACTAATGAAATTAAATTTTAACTTTTATTTTTTTAATTTATTTATTTTGAAATATTTAGTTCTAAAATTAGTGAAATTAAGTTTAATTTCTTTAATTTTTATGATTTAATTATTTTCTAGGAATATGTTTGTTTTAAAATTAAATAATTTAGCTTTCTTATAATTTAATCTTAACTGTGTTCCTGACACCGGGTCATATCAAATTCAAGTAATTTAGCAAATGAGAGAAAATACAACGCTGGTAGGATTTAGAAGTATTGTTTCTTTTTATTTAGTAACATGTAATTAGGGGCGGATAAACTTGACTCTCTAAGGGGTAATCACGTCTCTATTATTTTGACAAAAAAAATGAAAAAAATAGTTTAAAGTGTTGAAAAAAAGAAATTTGCATAGTCGATATTTTTAAAAGAAAATATATTAAATTTTAAATCCTTATTTTTGAATTTTAAGATGTAAATTTGAAGTTGTTTGTATTATATTTATAAAGATATTTATAGTTTAGTTAATATTTATTAAATATTCTTTTAATTAGATTTAAATAACATTAAAAATAATTTCTAAATTATTAAACCCTGAATTGATTTTGCCACAGTTGTCGAGGGTCAGCCGCCTATTTTGAAACGCAAAAACCCATGGGTAATTTTAGTACAAAAAATAATACAAAAAGTCAGATTTCATTAGATTTGTGGTTATATCAGACAAATCTCCACTTTTATCCACTTAAACAAACAAACAAACTTGACATACTAAAATAAGATGAGTTGAAGCAGATTGTCCCATGGAAATTTGGGCATTGCCGTGAATGGCGCCGCACATTTTCAATTACCTCTAAAGTTAAAAAAAAACAAATTATTTTTGAAGTTAGCTAAAAGTTACGCGTTTTAGAAAAGTTAGATCCATATTATATGACAAAATAATTCCATCTACCGTTAGAGTCGAATTTTAAGTAAAAGAAATGATAATTTACTTGACATACAACTTTATCACACTGATTCAATATTTTGTCAATTATTCAACACTCAAATTGTTAAATATCAATTATATACAAAACTATGAAAATATATAAAATTCATTTGGTGAATCTCTCTTTTTATACAATATTACCACTTAATTATATTTTTTAACAAAACATTATTTCATTAAATATAAATATAAACCCACAAATTTAACGTTACAAAATTCTATAAATATAAATACTTATAATTTGTTTTTAATAAACATGATTTTATCTCACTAGATGAATTTGGATGAAACAAAATACTGAGCAAACAAATGGAATAAAGGCAAAAGATATGGGACTATATTGCATTTGATTTTTTTTTCTAAAGCACTCCTTGTTGGCACAGGGAGGCAGAACAAAGCAAAAAATGTAAAACAATAGCCACAGTGCTCAACATTACATATGGCCATATTTCCTGTATACAAAGGCAAAAAAAGCTTCAATCTACATATATATTTTCTCATGCTTCAAGCCAGAGTTAGAGAGGACCAATGAACCAAACAAAATCTCACCTTCTTCTGTCTCCAGAGAAATGAAAAATTACAAGTTGGCACCGAACAGGTTTCTCCATTGTTGATATTTTGAGCTTTTTAAGTAACGGGAGACCAACCTTATATTTCAATTACCATATTTCTCAATGTCTCCTGCCGCTTAAATGGGATGCCTTCACCAAAGCTATCCTCTTCTTCATGCTTTAATGACCTCATTGACAAAGATGATGATAAACCTGGACCTGATTAGACGCAATCCATCGATTGTTTAAGCGAAAAGTAGAATGATAAATGTTTCTTAACTTGCATAAAACATTCTTCAACGTCCCTGAGAACATACCCTCAACCATATCTTTGGTTTTGTGCAGAAGAAAAGTTCCCGAAAGGATGGTCACGAACCCACATATCTCGGTTATGATCTGAGTCGGACTCTGCCCATCCCGGTCCTGATATAAAAGAAGCTAAACATCAATAAGGTAAATTCAAGTTCTATCCAATTAAAAAATCTGAGATCTAAGTAAGCTGCTCAAACTATAGCAGCTCTAAGGGCTCAGCATCAAACTAAAACCATAAGGGAACCAAGTAGGAGTTCACTTTCATATCATAGCAGTCACAAACAGGCCCACTATACGAAGCCAAACAAGGGTATTACAACTTAGAACTGCCAGAATCACCAAAAGATTCTGCACTTCAGCGCATAAGAGTTCCCTTCCCCTAAAAAGAGCATCCACCGTACATACCGGGTTAAGCAACTCATTCCAAGACAATTTAATTGAGATAATGCCTGAAAAAGAGCTTGTGGAAGGTGGTAGGCAGTATCCAGTAAGATATTTTGAACACGATAATTTAGTATACTTTTCGAACCATTCTGATAAAACCAATGACTAGAAATTACCTTAAACATGATTACACTAGCCAGAAAGGTCGGTGACGTGAACATAACATAGTATATGGGAGAAACCACAGCGGGGTTGAAAGTATCAAGCGCCTGCAATTATGAAGAAAAAAAAAAGGAATCAAGGGTGAAACAAAACCAAAGTAATAGGATATTGTTTCCCGGGGCAAGAAAATCATAAATAGATAAATTCCAATTGATTTATTGTTTAAATCAATGATAAAGAAAACCATAATTGCAGCATTTGACACAAAAGTGTACTAGACCTTGAATCAAAATGATGAAATTCAATTCTCTTTGTTTGAAGGGCGATGTCAGAATTATTCATAAAAAAGGGCAAGAGTTTACAATGAGAGAAAGAGAGGGTACCAAAAAAGAGGAAAAATAACCATTACCTTGTTTAAATAATTCATTTGGGTAAAGCACGCAAACAATCACAACTAAAGTAAAGGCCCCCGTCTGTGGATATATGAGCTGATTCATTCCTGAAAAGGTTAACTTCAAGGCAATACCAAGTGCTTTAACACTCATCACCTGTCAAAGGATAATCTTAGAAGGGGGGAGGGGACATTGGAATGGAAACAGAATTAAGTTGGAGTATAATGGGTTGGGAAGGCCGCCCCATTAGTCGGCACAAGTGATTATACCCAAAAAAAGAAAACAGAATTATGTCTTCAACAGCCTAGTATAAGTATAACATGTGTATGTCCATATTTTGGAACAAATTGGAGTATAAGTATAAAGAGAGCTGTTAAGACCAAAGCTGTGTAAAACAGAAACCCTGAAAGAAATACCAAAGAGGAACTAGAATTATTTTCTTCCATTGCAGTTGAACAATTTACGTTAGAAAATATGCAAAGAGCTAAGAACAATATTATTAAGAAAATTGAACCTGGCTCCGTGGCAAGATCCCAAAATTCTGTTACAGATTCAATCTGGCGTTCTTGGGGAGCCTGCAACACAATTGTTGTAGAGCCACAACACACAAAACACAACCAAGAACCCCAAAAATAAGTAACCTTTCCTGCAAAATGACAAGGGCAAGTGCCGCACTGCAAGAGAAACAATGATTAGCAATCAACACCGAAACCCAAACCTAAATATGAGTAAAAACTTTCTTGCCTGATGATGATGCTGAGGGCACCTAGAGGAGTGACCAGTATAGCTGGTGCAAATGCATAAGATGCAAAATTAGCAATTTCCCCCATGACCACTGTTGCAAAGCCAGTTACCAGTAAAAACCACATTTTTCTTCAATAATCATGAACCTTTAGCAACCAAACAAGTCATTATATTTAAAGAGAATGCAGGGTTTGATCACATTAAGAAGTACAGAATGAAGAACTATTTTTTATAAATGCATGATATACAACTGATGAGAGCATTCCACTTTTAATTCGTGCTAGATAACTTATATTAGATCATCTTTCAGGGATAATATTTGAAAAGGAAAAAAGTGAAAAGGAATATAAAGAAAAGAGTTTTCAATATGAATGAAAAATTCATGAGTAGGAGTTAATGATCAACGAGAAATCCATAAAACTTACTCGTTATCATGCCTGGCCACCAAAGTGGCTCAAGCAAGTAAGAATACCCTCCAAATCCTGCATAAAAAGCAATAAAACAAAGTCAATTCACTATGCAATGCATTAGAACAATAAAAGACTCCTCGTAAAAAATGAGCAGCCGAACAAGCAGTAAATGGTATCAATCAAGCAAGTAATAATTGATGAATGGAAAAAAAAATCTATTCAAAAGCAACAAATTATGCATGAAAAAACAGCAATCATCTGGAATTTAAAACACCCAAGCATATCATTTTCTC